AAATCTGTTTCCAGGATCTGTCTTGACATTTTGCATTTTCTCACCGTATGCCATCAAAGTAAACCCTACTGGTGTCTGTAGATCCCCATCTAAAAATTTTTACTATTAAAACCATTTATAATGTAGATAGAGGTCAAGACTTTGCCAAAACCCCCAAATTCTTAAAGAACTGAAAGCACATCCTCCCCTTTTTTGCATCTCCCAAAACATTCAGGACAGTGTAGACTACGGGCCCTTTAATAAAAGCTTCCTGAATTCAAAACTGAATGAGAGAATGCAGTATTTGCCTATGTAGATTTGGTCAATGTTAAAACCAAATTAAAACCAAACCAACAATAATGCACATATACAGTTTGAATGACTTTTGCTCTCAAATATGTTTCATGTAATGTATATAATGTCTGTCTATTCTAGAGCCTGTGATACATGTGAGGGATATATATATATATATATATATATATATAATTTATTTCATCATCAAATGATAAAACTGGGAAGATCCCACATACAATCATACACAATGCTACTGCACACTTAATAGACTACAGTAGAGTGTAAACATAACTTTTACGTGCACGGGGAAATTACAAAATTCGTGTGACCTGCTTTATTGCAATATTCCATTGATTTTGGTGGTCTGGAACCGAGCCTGCAATATCTCCAAGGTCTGCTTGTATATCTTCACTCTATAAAATGTCCTCTGACATTTCGGAAGTCTTTAAGACATTTTGTTATGCAGGCATCAGTGACTCCTTCAGTATCCTACTCTCAGTCTCCTCCGCTCTTCCTGTTTCTCCCTCATTTGCACTAACTTAGTGGAGAAGCATTCCCATTGGTGGATTTGGGGTTCATATTTCTAAAGCTCATTAGAGGTGGTATTGAGTTTTTCAAGGGAAAACTAAATGAGAAAAATTTTTTAGTTACCACTTCAGTTCTAAATAAGCATCATGCTTGATTCTTGAGACAACTATATTTCTAAGAGTCAAATAATAGGATTTTACTGCATAATATACTCCTGTTGCCTCACTCTACTTGGAAAAAATCAAAATGTATTTGGAATTTACTATGATTCTTGAAATCCAAACTTTCAAGTTAATAGGGCATTTCTTTTCTTAATTCCCATTTCACAGATTCATTTATTCATTCACTCATTAATGAGACAGGTCATATTTAAATGGAGGTACATAGAAGCAAGTGAATAAGTGAACTTAAGGAATAAATCAGATATCTAGGATGTTACATTCTTGGTTTAATATGCTAGCCCATATTTCCAAATCTTTCCCAAATCTTAACCTGATAGCTACCCTTTTGTTTTGTTTTGTTTTGTTTGCGGTACGCGGGCCTCTCACCGTTGTGGCCTCTCCCGTTGCAGAGCACAGGCTCTGGACGCGCAGGCTCAGCGGCCATGGCTCACGGGCCGGGCCCAGCCGCTCTGCGGCATGTGGGATCCTCCCGGACCGGGGCACGAACCCGTGTCCCCTGCATCGGCAGGCGGACTCTCAACCACTGCGCCACCAGGGAAGCCCTAGCTACCCTTTTGATGACTGATTTCAACCATTCAGTTTCCTAGTGCCCATCCCACATCAGGCACTGGACCAGTCACCAGAACCTAGAGGAGAATAGACATAGTGCCTGCTCATGATTTCGAAGTCTGTCTTACACACAACCACATCAGCAAACAAAAGGAAATGTCTTTCTTTAAGCTAAAGTAAACTTACATTAGTAGAGGTGTCTGGAGACTACACAGGGCTTTTTCAAATCATTGGAAGACGCTGGGGGTGGGGCAATTACCCACCGACAGCCCGGTGTATACAAGCTCACCCTCAAAGAATCATTCTTTTCTTCCTCCATTCTATCCCAAGGACCAGCTCTGTCCTTCCCTATCGATACTGGGAACATTTCTGGAGCCTCCCAGATCCCAGAGTACCACAAAAAAAAAAAAAAAAAAAAAAAAGTAAAACTACAACATGGAGGATCACTTTTTAAATCGTATTTTCAAATTGGAAGCAGAAGAGAATTTTCAGAACTTCCCTCAAGGCTCCTAGAATTAAACGCTTCCTCCCCTCGCCCCACACCCCCACCACTCTACTAATCTTTTCTTGTTCCTGCTTTTCAAAGCTGTGTTAAAGACCACGTTCCAGTTAACCAGTTAGTAAATGACAGGGCATGGTCTACCTTCAGGGACTTCCTATGTCAGTGTTAAATTCTACCTTCTAGACAAACCGACACTCATCTGAATGCTCTTTTCTACTTATTCCCTCCAACGTTTATTTCCATAATCATTCCCTCAAAAACAAAACAAACAATAACTCCTTCACTTCATTTTCTTCAGGTTGAGACCAGCAATTTCCTCCTTAACATGCTTTTCCTACCGGCTAACTCCCAAACTCTATAATCCCCATATCAACCGGTATGAAATGTAGATTATTTTTAACCACTATTTTAAATAGCTTGGCCCGTGTTGTGACACTGTGTTCAACGCATCCCAAATATAGTTCATTATCTGCCCTCCCTCCCACTCCCACATGCATCTTTCCCTTCTGTAGAAACCATCATCCTCCCAGTTTCCTAAAGCAGACGCCTGTGGGTCATCCTGACTCCTCCATTCTCCAGGCAATCAATTGCCAAGATCCCCTACTTCTTAAAAGATTTTAAATTTAAATATTCTCATCTTAATTTCTGTTACCATTCCTTAATCCAGGCCCCCATTAACAGTTGTAATTTCTTTATAAAGCTGCCTAACTTGTCTCCAAATCTCTAATCTTGAACCCCATCCCCACCCAGGACAATCCACCCTCCATATGGCCATCAGGCGGGTCTTTCTAAAAATCATAAGCTTGGACTTCCCTGGTGGCGCAGTGGTTAAGAACCCGCCTGCCAATGCAGGGGACACGGGTTCCAACCCTGGTGCAGGAAGATCCCACATGCTGCGGAGCAACTAAGCCCATGCGCCACATCTCCTGAGCCTGTGCTCTAGAGCCCGTGAGCCACAACTACTGGAGACCTTGCGCCTGGAGCCCGTGCTCCGCAACAAGAGAAGCCACTGCAATGAGAAGCCCACGCACACAACGAAGAGTAGCCCCGGCTCACCGCAACTAGAGAAAGCCCGTGCGCAGCAAGGAAGACCCAACACAGCAAAAAAATAAAAGTAAATAAATAAACTTATATTAAAAAATAAAAATCATAAACTTCATTTCTTCCTTCCCCTGCCTGAATTCCTGCAAGGTCTCTGCATTACCTTGCAGGTAAAATTCACAGAGCAGCATAAACAACAAAGGCCTTGCTGACTACAACTTCCAGGCCCACTTCTGACAACCAGCACCCACCTTAATCATAATTAGAGCAATTGCTAACATGTAAGGGATGCTCCCTCTGTTTCAGGCATGGTGCTAAGTGAATTATATGGATATTTTCTCTTCTAAGCCTCACAATGACCCTGTGAGCAAACTCCTGTTACTATCCCCATTCTACAGGCTCTCCGAAGGGCCCAGAGCTGGGGTGCAGACACAGACTTTCTCCTCTAAACCTGTGTCGCTCTCCACCTGTGGCAGCACACTTTTTCACACCTCTGTATTTTCTGCCTAAAAGTCCCTGGCCTCTCTATTTTCAGGACAATCCTGCTTCTTTTCTCAAGCGGTCCCAAGCCCCAAGTAGAGTTGTCACTCCTTTTGCTTTCATCATAGCATGTGTTTTATACACACATCTATTTAGTATTTTTCTTAAACCACTGACACACCCCAACCCATTCCTGGTCTCCCACCCCAACTCTGGAGGAAACTGAAAGACCAAGAAACTGCAGGTGTCCTGTACTGAAGGCTGAACCCTGGAGGAGGGTCCATTCTCTATCCATCCTTGAGCGAAAGGAGTGGGGAGGGGTGGAGAGAGTACCAACAGCCCCTCCCTTCCCTTCCTCACTTCTCTCACCAGCCGTTGTCAGAAAAGCAGGATCAGAATCGGTGCATTATGTTCCTAGCAGAAGGGGGAGGTAGATGGGAGCTGGGAGCAGGGGTAACACGTGGTTGGCCTTAAATAGAGAACTGTAGTAGAGATGGCCTTGCATGCTGAATTAGGAGAGAAGATAGACGTTGAGTTGAAGGCCAATTTAGACCTAGTATTTACATGCCTGCTGCCTTTATGAACTCTTAAAGGGCAGGCAACTGCATCTCTTTACCTGCGGACCTCACAAGGTATTTGTTGGAAAAAAAGAAGGAACAAAAGAAAGAACAAAGGTAACAAAGAGTAAAAGAAACAGCACTTATACAGAGCTATGTTCACTAAATTCGCTTCTTAAACAATTATAGCTAGTAATGCCCTGTCACATCCACTATAGTAGTATGTAGAACTTAATGAAAAAATCCGTATGAGTAAAATTATCATCAGTGGGAATCACTTTGGTCCTCAAATTCTGAGATACAAGAGAGTTCTCCATTGAGGGATTTAAGGCAAAATTGATTTCCCTAGAGGACTACTTTGTGGCATCACTACCATTAGGGTGTGACCCTCTGTCCGCATGAGAAGAGAGAGGCTTCAAGAATCAGGAGCATCTCCCGGTCAAAGAGCCTGTGGTCCGACACCCTGCCCCCATGATCACCCACCTAAATGAGCCCCAGAAACGGCCTCCCTGGCCCTACATTAAGAAATAATAATGATGATGTAATGAAATTAAATATGCCCTAATAAATAAAACTTTTAAACATTTTTCTTAATACCTCAGACTTCACACTATGTACCATGACAATAGGTTTTAAAATAGAATTAAAAAGAAAAAAATTCCAGGGAGGCTCATTCTAGTAATATTCCTTGAAGTAGTAACCTATCATCTAGTTTCCATTTGGCCACTGGAATTTCCTAGCAAATCTTGGCCCAAAGAAAAAGAGGGAGAGGGTACAAAATATAAAAATGTAATATCAAGATAAAAGTGTGGTCACAATCAAACGTTTACAGCAGTGAAGAAGCAAATAAGTGAATCATTGTGTCCATGAGTAATGCCGTGTCCAACTTCATACCTCTTGATGGATTTCCAGCACAGCAGAAGACTTCCTGACTGTGGTTACCGTGTGCAGCCTGGATATAGGAGAAGAAAGATGCAATTTAATATATATATAATACACTATATATGTACATACACAGATACATACACAAAGACATATATGTATAGCATGTCAAACTTGAGTACCATGAAGATTATATGCACAAAACTTGAATTAGAAAGAGATGGAAAATAATAATTCAATTTAGAATATTCAAAGTCAAGAAATTCCTTGGGCAGAGCTTTCCAAAAACAAGCCACTGGTTTAGAGCACATTTCCTGTGCCCTAGTGAGTTTCCTGTCCTCTAGGACAAAATTCTCTGCACACCAACCTACCACTCAGTTGGGCCCTGTGACTCACCCAACTAATGTGGTCAGAGGAGGCTTGATTACAAGCAATGCCAGAGTCTGGGGCTTTGTTCTTCTTTGTTCTTTATCTTTACTAAAATACTAGGAATGTGGAATGCCTCAGGCCTTCACTATGCACCACCAGCTCTTTTGAACATTTCTATTCCACCTAAGATTGGCCTTGCATCTGAAGTCTGGGTCACCTGTCACTGGTGATGGGTGGCCTCATTGGTCTCGAGGTAGATGGGGTAAAAGGCCTATGACTCCACGTGCTGCAATGTCAATGTCTTCCTTTCCCAGACTCTGGTTCACTGGCTTTCAACCATGGCTGTGTATGTGAATCATCTGGGAGAGAGAACCAACCAAACAACCGATGCTCAGGTCTAATCCAGACCAATTAAATCCAAATTTCTGCAGATGGGGTCCAGAGAGCGGTATTTTTTCAAATTTCCCTGCGTGTCTCTAATACACAGCCAGGGTGCAGAAACACTGTTTACAAAATATGGGAGGCTACTTCCGGATAATATAGTGTAGTGAATAATAAAACTTCAAAAAGGGCTCTTGGCCACATTTTTTTCCTTCAGTTCATCAGCTTCTACCAAAATCTCAGGGGACTCAATTCAAGGGGGGAAAAATGAGTTAACGTTTAATGAACCGTTCAAGTTACTCAAAATTTATTTCAACAATCTCATATTCAAACACATTAGCTTTTTTATTTGAATTCAAACTATTTCCCAAGAGAGTCTCCCATTATGCGTAGTACGTTTCAGAGCTCAGAAAATGAAAGACCAAGGATAAAATGAATCCAGCTTAATTCAATTGAATTGTTCTGGTAGTACATTACCACTCTGAACTGGCTTCCTATGACTGCACCTCACTCTATGGACCTCCACATTACCTATTTTCTTAGCTTTTTGATAGCAGCAAAGATAAATACGGTTCTTCTTGTTTGTCTGTCTTCTTTGGAAAGCTAAAAAGAAAACTCTGGTGGCCACTGCTCAGCCTTCTGGCTCTCCCCCAAAATAGATCCTTCTAGAATCTGCAACTCATCACACCTTTTCAACATTGCTTCTCTGAAGATGCTTCAACCTCTAGAATCCAAGGCCTCCACCCTGCTTCATCATCACCGCCTGCTTTTTCCACCAAAAGCTGAAGCTCTGGAGTAAGGAAGCAGCCCTTGCTTTGGTTAGGCAAAGCAATTGCTCTGTTTCATATAAATGGCTAATCGGAGCAGGTGAACCGAATTGTCCCTTGCCTGACTGATTTTTCCAAAGCTTTGTGGCCCTAAGTCATTTTCTGCCACATAATTTTTTTTCTCTTTGTATTGTGGAGTGTTGAATATTTACGTGCTACTCACACTTGTGAGCAAATATACAGAACACAGAGTCAGTCTGAAGCCAAATTATGAGGTGAGTGAAATTTGTCTTCAGTCATTCCTGTCAAATTCCCATCTCCTTCAGATGAAGAAGTGCCTCACTATTGTCTCCCTCAGCTGCTCCATTACAAGTGTTCTCCCTACCTGCATTCATAATAGAGTTGTTGTGTTTTTTTGTTTGTTTTTTTTGTGTGTGTGGTACGCGGGCCTCTCACTGTTGTGGCCTCTCCCGTTGCGGACCACAGGCTCCGGACGCGCAGGCTCAGCGGCCGTGGCTCACGGGCCCAGCCGCTCCGCGGCATGTGGGATCTTCCCGGACCGGGGCACGAACCCGTGTCCCCTGCATCGGCAGACGGACTCTCAACCACTGCGCCACCAGGGAAGCCCCATAATAGAGTATTAATAGCTGATAAGGGCAAAGTGTTATTACGTCCAAAATAGATGCACTTTAGCATTTGAATTTAGCTAGTCAATTCAACAGAGATGGTAATAACCACCAACAATGTGGAAAAAAGAACACTAACAGTTGTCACCTAGCCCTTTTCACCTGGGCATTTTGTGTAATTATTACGGCTTGGAAGATGGGCTTTGCCCTCAGCTCATCCCAATCCTAGGCTCTGAGTGGTTCATTTTCCCAAAGATATAGAGCTACTGTAAACAGCAAAATCGACCTTAAACTCTGGTCTCCTACCTCCAAGTTGTGTGTTTCTTCCCCTGGACCACAGCAACAGCGACAGCACTACCTTTCATTTCGTGCCTGTTTTATCTTTTTTTTTGCTGCTGCTGTACCGACATGCTGAGGAAACTCAAGGTCAAAAGATTTGTCACTTGCCCGAGCACGGTGAAAGAACAAGGTCAAAACCCACATCTTCTCTCACTTCGGAGTGGCATGGACATATATACACTACCAAACGTAAAATAGATAGCTAGTGGGAAGCAGCCGCATAGCACAGGGAGATCAGCTCGATGCTTTGTGACCACCTAGAGGGGTGGGATAGGGAGGGTGGGAGGGAGACGCAAGCGGGAAGAGATATGGGAACATATGTATATGTACAACTGATTCACTTTGTTACAAAGCAGAAACTAACACACCATTGTAAAGCAATTATACTCCAATAAAGATGTTTAAAAAAAAAAAACCCACATCTTCTCACAGTTAATTCTACCTTTTCCTCTGTTCCCTACTTACTCAAGGAAAATAGCATTGAAAAATATCTAGACTTCAAGTGAGTAAGAATTAAGGGGCCGTTCAATACCCCTCACCTCAGACCAGGAACTTGGTGCCTGTTCCACATTCTACTAATACTGGCCCTGAGTGGATACAGAACACGACCAATCACCCTCCACTCTTGACTCACCCTGAGCCTTTCGGGTCTTTAGGAAAAATGGCGCTGGATCCCCAAACTCACGTGTTCGTTGTGTAGCAGAAGATGTAAAACAGGACATCAAAATCACAAAATGTGGGGGAAGGAAGTATAAAAATGTAGATCTTTTTATTCTGTTTAATTTTTTATTATCCTATGGCAGGGATCTTTTCAGAAAATGGGATAATTAAAAGCAACACAGTAGTCATAGCACAAAATGGTAATAAGTGCTAACATTAAAACTGTAGATCTTTTAGAATGTGTTTGAACTCGAATGAAGATGAGTTTAAAGCAAGTAGATATAGTTATGGGTCAACATGCTTGAGTTTTGAAACCCAACAGACCTTCACCTTGCTTGAACCTCCATTTCCTCATCTGACAAAGAGAAGAAATAATATGGGTCTTGCTGTGAAAATAAAGAAACTGGCAGAGAGTAAAAACGTCATCTCCCCTTCTCCCCTTCCTTTGCCTGTCCAAATCCTATATCTTAGCTAATGGTAGAAATGTCCCAAACAAGAGAATCTTTTCTGTTGTGAAAACTTAATTTTGGATCAATGCCATGTGGCACAGTAACTCTTGGAGTGAAGTGGATTTGGTTCCACATAAGAGTGATACAGGGTGGATGCTCAAATGGTCATGGCTCCGTATCTTGGCTGCTCTACAATAAAAAGCAGAATCACTTTTCCTGCCCTCTACTCCTGTTGTCCAACTCCTATATATCTGATTACTTGATTTCAGGAATTCTGGTGAACAGAAAGTAAAGTCCTCCTAGCACTAATCCTAAGTGATGAGCTCTAACCCTAAGAAGGCAGCACTCCCAGTGGCTTGAACCCCACGGGATTTTGAAACAAAGAGGGTATCGCTCATTTGCAGCTTCAGAAATTTTACCTGAAGTCTTCCAAAGATTTCTTCTTGGTGGCTTTCAAACCACCAGTTTGGCAACAGGCAAATTTGTAATCGATGACCTGGTAAATGATGGGGTTGTACACTGCTGCTGATTTTGCCAGGAGGGTTGGCACCACGGAGAGTTGTATGGGGATGGAGTCTGGCCTTCCAAAAGCTGACCACACGGAGACCACTGCGTAAGGAATCCAGGCGATCAGGAAGCCAGCACAAATCAACATCGCTACCTGGTAAGGGAAAGCGACAGAGAACAAAATCGAGGTACTTGGTGGAAACGATGGTTGTGGGGGAGAGGATCAGGCAGCCTATTTACACCCAAGAAAGTCTGTCTATCATGTGTTCATTTATCTTGCCAGTAGGAATCATTTCATATGGATCTCTGAGATGTTCAGCCAGAAGAAGTTATGACAATTCTTCTCCCATTCACCACATCTTATCCGTTCTCCACTCCAGAATTTGAATGTACCCAAAGACCCGAAGTTTAACCCTATAAAAGGTGTCAGATTGTGCCTACGTGGAGCAGGAAAATCATGCTAAAAGGACATCTGTGAGCCGGAAATTTCCAGACTTCTCAACCCACATTCATTTAAAAACTAGATGGAGAATATGTACACCTTGATGAAATTTTAAATCGCCCTCATTTGCCTCAGGAAACTTAGAAACTCTGCCTTTGTTTGAAATTCTAATAGGAAGCTTCTTCAGAGATTTCTATGAAATGTAATTTCCTTTGGCTCAAGTTTGAGGCTCAGATGGTGGAAATTCACTAGCTACAAAGCAAAAGAGAGTCATCGAGCTTGAACCAAAGTGACACAGTTGTATAAAATGAGACTTTTCCAGAAAGTGCTTTTCTCTCTCACCAAATTATATTTACCTTTAGAAGCCTCTTAACTTTCAGACCAAAGAATAGTTAGAGATAGGGTTCGAAGCACCCTGACTAGTTTCTCACCATCTGCCATTCAGTCTCTTTAAGAATGTAGTCTGGGACTTCCCTGGTGGCACAGTGGTTAAGAATCCACCTGCCAAGGCAGGGGACACAGGTTTGAGCCCTGGTCCAGGAAGATCCCACATGCCGCAGAGCAACTAAACCCGTGCACCACAACTACTGAGCCCACGTGCCACAACTACTGAAGCCCGTGTGCCTAGAGCCTGTGCTCCACAAGAGAAGCCACCGCAGTGAGAAGCCCGTGCACCGCAACGAAGAGTAGCCCCCGCTCGCCGCAACTAGAGAGAGCCCGCGTGCAGCAACGAAGACCTAACGCAGCCAAAAATAAATAAATAAATAAATTTATTTTGAAAAAAAGAATGTAGTCTGACCCTATAGATTATCCCACTTGAATTCAACAAATCTTTTTTTAGCAAGTGCTTTGCGTGAGACACTGTGTAAGTGCTCTGGAGACACCCGCACACCTCCGTGCCTGGGTTGTATCCCTCTAGAGCACAAACAACTACGTGGCAAAGCTGAATATGGTTTAAGTGCCAGCTCAGAGGAAGACAAAATTACCTGCTATGGAGCAAAGTAAGAACAGTCTCAGGAGGAATGTGGCGTATAACCTACACACTGGCAAATGGAAATAAAGGGGAGTGAGACCAGCCCAAGCAAAGGTAAAGACAGGTATGTGTGAGGTTTGTATAGGAACTAGTAAGCAATTCACTTTGATGTATGAGAAAGCAACCAAGGGAGACGAGCCTGGAAAGAAAGATAACATCCACGTATTCAGGGTTCTGTATAACATATTACTGAGCTTGCCCTTAATTCCATATGCCTGAAAGCACCAGTAGGTTTTTGAGCAGGAGACATATGAGGGTCACGTTTAGGAAGATTAACCTGTAAAGTAAAATGCAGCTGGGAAAAATCGGAGGCAGAAAAGTCATTGTTTATTCATTCAACCAGCAAGCGTGATTGAGCATCTCCTACGTGTTTGTGTTGAGGATAAAAGAATGAACAAAGCAGACACAATGCCGGCACACCTAGACTTTCCATTCTGAGCAGGTTTGTTTAGGTGACTGTACGAACAAGAAACAAAAGGGGTCTTAATTAAAGTACCGAGATTTGCAAAGGAAGTCCAAGCTTCCAGTTTTCTTTTAAATGCGAGCTATTTTAAGCCCCGGTTGAGAGAGAGTGAACTAACTTCAAAGCATCCTTAATACCATTATCTACTAGATTATTCTTTCAGTAAGATAAATAATGAAACTGTATTCAAATTTGCCCTCTGTGTGATGAAGATCTGGTGTTGTTTGTTTGTATTTATTTTCCTCTTCCCAGTATACCTTTGGCCTTAGCATTGCCAGCAACCCTTCTGCCCTGTATACTCTTTTATGGAGTTGGCATCTCAGGAATCACAAGACCAAGTCTGACCAGAGGACTGCATGCCCCTGGCTACAATCCTAGGAGCAGGGTTGGACACATGACTAGAACAAGCATAGTCCGACCCACCCTGGGATTTTATAAAGGCAGTTTTAGGAAAAGTCAGCCTTCCTTTTGAGTTACCTAAAGGCCTGGGAGGATGAGAGGCTGGAGATATCTGAGGCCAGGAGCCACTTCCTTTCACAGCCCCCATCCCCTAATTTAAGAAGTAAAATGTAAATTAACAGCTCCCAGCATCAAGGTCAGCAACATCAAGCTGGTGTGGAGGATGAGGAATGAGACACCAAATATTTTATTAATAGTAGTTAAAGCAACAATAGTTGCACATACTTGATTGTGTTTGAAATTCAATTGGAAGAGTTCTTCCCATAACAAAGTCGTTTGTGTGCATGTGCATTTCAATATACTTTTGTGGGAGCAGAGCTATTGCATGGAGGAAATGGTCCGGACCCCTCAGTCTACTTGATCTGTGGCACAGCCTGCCAGTAGGGTGTGCTTGTCCTGGGAACCCCATATGTGTGGGCTGTGTCAAGAAGGAAGCATGAGAAATCTACCTGAAAGTCTCAGATTCAAAAGTTCTACCCCAAAAAGTTCAAGGATCATCTTTAAATATTAACTGTAGCAGAGAAAAACCTCAACAGTAACCATTTTGCTCCATTTTGCAAATAGAGAATCTAAATCCCAAAGAGGTGAATCAAATGAGCCCAGATCTCCTGCACGTCCTCAAGTCCCGAGTTAGGGTCCTGAGCTAAACTTCTCACCTGCGCTCAGCAGTTATAGAGGAGGCCTGATGCACACATGCAGCTCTCCTGCCTACTTGCCTTTCCATCTTTCTGCAGAAGCTTACCCAGGAGAAACAGCATTTAGTTTGGTCTGTGTGACTTTTGTTTGTAAATGGAGTGGATGCCTCAAAGCTCACAGCGAGGGTCGTATTTTTTTCTAAATCCTCAAATAAACAATAACGATATAAATAAAGCTTGCTCTAGCCGATGTCTGGGAACTTAACATAGCTCCATCCTTTCTCCTTCGCTGTGAGTCATAAGATGGTTTCACAGTATCTCAAAAGCTGTTTTCTGTGTTGCTGCCAAAGTCATTGACAAAAAATAGATTAGCACTTAGTCCATAATATTTTCTACGTTTTACATATTTTCTCTTTTTATGGGAGTGTATAATGGGGAACACTAAGGACTTAAAACATTTGCATTTTGTTATCCTTTTTAAAAGGACAGAAGAGAATTAAAATATACCAAGGTTTTTAAATACATAGCAAATGAATTTAAGTGGTTTTTCTGGGATTAGAATAAAGCTAAATACTTCAAATTGAATGACTAGAAATCAAGTTTAATGCAGAAAGAGGGATAAAAGCTTAGATCTCAAAGTACTGCATAATGTTACTTATGTTTTTGAAGTGAATACAAAGTTAATATGAGGCACAGTCATTTTCTACAAGCTTCTCATGTTAAAGTCCACAAAATATTAAACTTTGAAATATTAAAGCTATTTTTAAGAGAGACTACAAAACTTTGCAAAACTTTCATGTGACATTCAGTTTTCCCAGAACTTTCTACTCAAGTTGGAGCACGTTTAATCTTCCCATCACTCTGTCCTTCACTTTCCACATTTCTAAGTGTGTCCTCATTTCTATTTTCCAAAATTTCTCTCCCAGACATCCTTAAACCAATTCTAATACAGGCACCTGTACCCATCAATTTCTTCTAAGTTGTTTATTTTTTTAACTGCTTCATTTTTATCACTGCCTTTTGGTTCACTGGAAAAGGAATAAAACTTCAAATTCTTAAACTAGATGGTTTTTGTGGGAGGAAATTCATAGAATACATGTTTAGCTTCTACAAAAGAATCACACATCTGCAACCCTGCTGATTTTTTAAAATATCTTGCTGCAGAGGACCAAGAAATACTGGTACGTTTCAGCTACACGGTTCAAGCTGGCATCAAGCGTCACGTAAGCAATACTGCCCACAATGGATCAATTCCAGTGAATTAACCAATTAAAGCAAGAATAGAATAGGGATGAAGAAGTTCTATAAGGTGCTGCCTCTGGGCCCCATACATCTGAACCATTACAGCAGAGAAGTTTTCCAAAAAGGGAAGTCCTATCTCGTCTGTGTGCAGAGGCAGCGTGGAATAGTGGGGAAGTCTGACATGGAGATATTCAGGTTTGGATTCCAATCTTGCTTCAGTTCCACTGACCACTGTAAGGGAGACAGAATCTCTCTCTAAGATCTGCCCCTTCAGTTCCTTCCACCAGGCTCCTTTGCCCAGATACAAGTAAGACTTCAGCCAACATTTGAAGCTGCCTGCTACCTTGGATAATGAAATAGATAAGGAGAGGACTGGATGTGGAAGTGAAGGCTTAAAATCAGAGCCAAAGAGATGGAATAAATTCCCCACCAATGATGAGGCTGAATCACACTCCAGAACCAGCTAGACTACTGATAACAAAGATATTTCAGTGGCTGGGATGAGGTAAGGTCACAAGGAGAGAGATCACCACATCTGTGCATTGAGAGACAGGGCAGGAGAGGGTCCCGCCTGCCTACAGAGAGTGTACATTTGGCAGGAACACAGGCAGGATCAGATTTGGTTTTTCTCTCTTGGCTCTAGCCAGCAAGTATACGGATTTGTTCCCAACTAGAGGGGAAAACGGTAATAAAAGTTGGCAATGCAATGATAAATGCCAATTGTAGGACTACGACCCTCCATGCGTGGGCAGCCTGTCATTGAGGGATGCTGCCAGTGACAAGGAGGAAGGTGGGGAGCTGGACAGCTGTGACCAACCTTCCTCGGCCCTCTGTTTCCTCATCTATATAGAAACAGGGGTAGCGATAGTTCGCTTTCACA